GCTTAGCTTTAGCTTAGCTTTAGCTTAGCTTTAGCTTAGCTTAAGCTCAGCTTTAGCTTAGCTTTATATTAGCTTTAGCTTAGTGTTAGCTTAGCCTTAGCTCAGCTTTAGCTTAGCTTTAGCTTAGATGTAGCTTAGGTTTCGCTTAGCTTCAGCTTAGCTTCAGCTTAGCTTTAGCTTAGCTTTAGCTTAGCTTTAGCTTAGCTTCAGCTTAGCGTTAGCTTAGCTTTAGCTTAGCTTTAGCTTAGTGTTAGCTTAGCCTTAGCTTAGCTTTAGCTTAGCTTTAGCTTAGCTTCAGCTTAGCTTTAGCTTAGCCTTAGCTTTGCTTTAGCTTAGCTAGTTTAGCTTTACTGTTACTACTAATGCTGCTTTCCTAGGGGCTCCAACTCCTAGGTAGGGTCGCACTGGGATAATTTGTTTTTTCAAACAGTAGATTGTGTTTCACAGCGTGGACCGATGCATTCGATGGGCGGCTACTCAACAGGTAGCCGATGAAGCGATGCACGCAGTTCTTGCCACCTTCTGAGTTGGATGCAACGTGTTCCAGCTAAGGTAGCGCGGTGGTGCACTCCGATGGCGAATGCGCCCGAGGGGCCCAGGGCGATCTGAAAGGCCATAGGCGCGGAGCGTCGCATCGTCGCCCGAGGCCGCCCGAGGCCAACGCGCCATCTCACGCGCCACTGGTCATGGAGGAGGGGCTGAAGAGACTAAACATCCCTCCTTTGTTCCCCTTACTACTGCCCGAGGGCCGGTTTGTCTGCAGCGCGCCTGCATTCTACAAGGGCGTATCTCTGCATTGAACCCTGTCTGGCCGACGACCAGCTTGCCTCCCAGATTCCCATGTTCAGGTCACGGGCATGGGGCGGAGACGCGCGACCACGACCGTTAACAGTAACAGAAAATTAGGGCGGTCAGTTTCTAAGCCATTGCACAGGCCACCGCGGTTGATAATGGGAACCGGGCAACGGCGCCGGCCAGGTAACGCAGTTCATAAACAGGCGATCTCGCGGACTACCCCCGACCCGCCGACTGGGGGGGCGGGGGGGGGGCCATGCCCGGCTGCGCGCCAATGCCCGGGCCGAGGTCAGGCAGCAGTCGAAGCCCAGCGGGCGAAGTCCAGCGTCGCACTGCGTGCGCCGAGGCCCTCGTCGTCCGCGAGATCCGTTCCGACGCGACGGCCGCGCGCGGGGCGATGGCGCTCATTGTTGGAACTTGCCGCGGCTTTCGGCCACTCCCCGACGGCCGTGGCAAGTTTCCCGGGGCGGCGCCCGCGGCTGGCAAGCAGGGGCGCCCGCGGATGGCCGCGGCGAGCAGACTCTCGCCACAGGTGCATGTAGTTCTGCAGCTTCTCATCGGAATGTATTCCTGGATTGAGGGCGCGGCCCCCGTGCGCGCGTCTCAAAGCATCTGTTGGTCACCCGCAGTGCCGTGCGTTGACAGTTGTGCACTTGCATGCTATGACGTCGATGCTACCTCAATATTCCGTTTACGCTGTGATGCACCTGAAGGTATAGCACTAAATTTAGACGACATCATTGGGCCCACCCACGCACGAACCTCCCAGCGCTTTAAGTTCTCAAAGCCACTGGCAAGCCCCGACGAGACCCGGCGGACGCGCCACTATCGAACGGGCCAGCTCAGGAGGGACAACCACGAGCACCTCCTGCCTCTGACGATGGCCGACCCCCGGCAATCTATGAGGAACCGTAGGCTGACTTCGAAGACTGCTTCCTGGAGGCATGGCATTAAGAACTACACATTGGAAGAGGATTCGCGGAGGGCGCCTTGTTGGAATCTCTACATGCGTCCCCTGCTGAGATGATCACCGACAACAGCCCGCTCGCGACTGCGGCCGGCGGGGGGCGCGGAAACCTGCGGCAACAGGGTTGTAATCAAGGCGACACTGACGAGACGTGCCTCGCCCTGGTATTCTTAACCTGCCACGGCGAGACCCATGCTACAGGCGCGCCCAGAGCCGCTCTGGCGGAGCAAACGCACAACTTATTTAACATGGGCCATGTAACTAGGATGCGCGTGCATTTGTCTGCCGCGCCGGAAATAGCTGCTGTCGTCGTCAAAGAAGACGACCTCCCCGCGATGGCTGGGTTACAGGAGCGCCTTTTTAACACTTGCAGAGGCCCGCGCGCAGAATTCAATTCCTGATAAAAAACCGAATCTTCAAATGTGCAAGAAATCAGAGATGCGTCGAGTATCCCGAATGTGAGATAGGCGTGCACATGGAAGTCCGTGAAACCCATGCGGGCGGATTGAAACGCACTTCCAGGCTGCGCCCATTCCCGCGCGCTGTTTGGACGTCGAGGCCTTCGACGTGGAGACCTATTCAGAAACGGCCGTGCGGGCCAGGCAGGGATTGCTCGCAAGTGCGGCCGCGCGCAGAATGTCAGGGGCGAGTGCGCCCATAGGCAGGGGCAGGGCTTTCTAAAAGGTCCTGACATGTAGCGGTCTAGCTGCAGCCGCTGGCGAGAGAGAACGCGCGGATTGCTTCGCGCGCCCACCTGGTTCTGCCGCGGTGCCGAGGACGCTGCTGGGCTTTGCGTCTCGCGACGAGTCGCGACATTGTTTGCGGTGCCTAACACAGGGAACAAACGCCAGAAACGCCCCCAGGGCGTTCCCGTTGAAATTCAGGGCCATCATTCGAGGCCGCGGCCCCGCGCCGACCTCCTACGACGAATAGTCCGGGTGAGGCCCAAACATCCCGGCAGTAAATCACGTAGACGACGTGAAAACATTGACAAATGCGCCGGGCGCGTAGAAGGCAACCCGGCGCTTGCCAGCCCAACAAACACAGTTGCTCCAACTGCGCCTTGCGACGCATTCATGCCGAGGGCGGCAGCGTCCAGCTTGACCGAAATCAAGACATCAAGCAACTTCGCCCAATGCAACACCCAGCACTGATTTGAGCTGATGTTTTAGAAGAGCTTGCGACGTCTGCGTCGGATTTGCCCAGCAGCGTTACCATGCGCCTTTATTATTCCAGCGCGGTTAATGTTGCGCGCGGCCCCCCCCCCGCAACGGGTCGAATAAACGACCCGCGCGCAAGGGCGCAGGCGCAGCGCCGCAGCGCGAAAGCTACGCGAAGGCCCCGCCTAACGGAAAGGCAGTCGTTCACATTATAGGTCCGCAGTGTAAATCACATCAATTAAAAGGACGCTGTAGAAATTCCGCTGAGACCGAGGCAGCAGCCCGCAACGCGTATAATTCCCACCCCGCCATCGTCGCGCTACATGGGTTAAAGGCTGGACCATTTACTCCGACACAGCTCGTAAATATCCCCCAGTCAGAGCTTGCCCCTGCAGGGTCCTAGCGGATCCTCATGGGAAGGTGAGGTTTGCCACCGGTTTCCGCGGCCCGCCCAGGTGCCCGGGTGCCTTATAGCCCTATGGCCCCATCGCCCCATGGCCCTATTGCCCTATAGCCCCAAATCCTTGCAACCCTATAGCGCTTTAGCCTCATAGCCCTATAGCCCTACATCATATTCCTCTAAAGCCCTGTAGCCCTATAGCCCAGATTGCCCCATAGACCTATAGCCCAAGAGCCCAATAACCCTATAGCCCTTTAGCTCCATATCCCTATAGCCATAGATCCCTATACCTTTATAGTTTCATAGCCCAATATCCAGCCCGATAGCTTCCTACATGCCCATAGCCCTATACCCTCGTAGCCCTATACCCCTATAGCCCCCTAGCGCTATGGCCCTATAGCCCTATAGTCCCCTAGCTCTATCGATCCAGAGCTCTATATCCCTATGGTCCTCCAGCCCCATAGCCCCGGAGCCCCATAGCCCTACATCCCTCAAGCCTCATACCTTATAGCCCAGTAGCCCTATGGCCCTGTAGCCCTATAGACCTATAGCCCTACGGTCCTATAGCCCTATAGTTCCGTAGCCCTATAGCCCCATCGCCCAATAGTTCCATAGCCATATATCCCTGAAGAGACTTTGATTAAGGGTTTCTCTCTGGTATCATTCTTCTACATCGGTGGTCCATGCATCAAAGTTGTATTCACCACTGACGCCGAAAAGTTCTTTAAGCCGCTATCCAGCAAAGGTCTTAACAACCCGTTGGGTTGACCCTTCGTGGCCACACCAGTTGGGTTCAACAAGTTCAACAAGCGATTGAACATGGCATCGTGCATAGCATATAGATGGTGCGATACACGCTACAACCGGCGGACATGCCAACTGTTGTATTGATCGTGAACTACTTCTACAAATAATGGCGGATATTCAATCATTCAAGTATGCGGCGAAGCGAGACTGGCGGCTGAGGCATATGAGTTCGCATGGCCGCATGCCCGAAATTTTGATGCTCGACCAAGGGCTTTTCCTTTGCTGTGATAGGTTTGGTGTTTGAAGGGTTATTCGGACCCCCGTGCATATGTTTTATGCGGGTGGACGTCGCCTTTCAGCTGGAGCTGCGAGGCTGCCCTCTGTACGTTGTTGCGCCGGCTCTACGGTCAGATTTCTCGTGGTTGGCCCTGTGTTGTAGATCTAGTGCGTTGAATATTGACGTGACCCACCGCTCGGCTCCACCCTCCGAACTTTGAATGGAGGTCAGGATCGAGCATCGCGAACACCGTGCTTACGTCCGCTGCCGTTTGCCGTTTTTAATATTAAGCGGCACACCGCTAGAATATGATTGCCTCAGGTACCATCGCACTGTCGTCACGGACGAGAAATCTATACATAGCCTTCGATGGTGCACCCTCCGACCCCATCCATTATCAGTCGAGCACCTACCATGGATAGGGTATGGGATATTATCGTACGCCTTCGGCGTCATGTATGGTACGGCTTACCATACCACTTTCGATTACGACGTTGCGTCCAGAGCTTCTCGTTCCTCTCTCGTGGCGAACTCTACTCTCATCCAGGGCAGTTTTCTTATGGTCCAGGGGCCCGAGATTTTCAACGTTTTCGGAACTCCAGCTGTTACTGCTTTCGTCGCGTAGGATAGAAGGGGCAGAGGGGCGCCCGCGAGGGCATGGCCTACCGGACCAGAAAGGACCTCGACGCCAGAGCCCCCGAGGAGGAGGCCGGCTTCGCCAAGTGGGGCGACACGATCACCGCCCACGATTTGGCGCGCCCCGCCGCGCCGATGATCATCAGGGTGATGGGGCCGAACGGTCTTACATAGTCTTCCGGTGCTTAAGTCAAGCTCGGTTCCGCGTCACGGAATCAGTTTTTTCTGTGATTCTTGAAGGCCCCGCTTCGCGATAAACCCGTGACCTGCCTTGCGACCCACCCCCGAGCCGCCATTCGACCAGATCCGTGACCTGCCTTCGACTCGGTCCTCGAGCCACGCGCGACCCACCCGCGATCCGCTTCGCGAGACTCACAATCCACATTGCTTTGACAGATCAATCGGCCATTGCTGTGGGCCTTCTGTGCAATGTGTAAAACATAGGCGCGTTCGGCGGTCTTCACATTTGCTTTGCCGACCCCCCCCGCCACCACACCCTCATCCGTAATTGCAGCGGCTATGGCATACGTTTCCCGTCGCGCCGTAAGACAGCCTCGCTCACTGAATTGTGCGCCCTGCGGCCCGAAGACCGCCTGGTAGTCCTCGACGCGGTGATCCTCGTATGTGTCTCAGATCCAGCGCTTTCCTGTCTGAGTGTCTGCGTATCTATGAGTCGGGGTGTGAGCGGTTTAGTAGGAGCGCGTCTTGGCAAGACTGGATTCGAGTGGCAATTCTCCTTGAGCGTTTCTTCCTATGAGCCGCGAGTGGATCGTTGCTCCTTCGCGATGAGCATTGGACTCTGGAAGGAGACGCGTCTACCCCCCCCCAAAGCGGCCATTCTATCTCAGAGATCTTGAAAATCTGGTTGCGAACGGGCCCGTGTCATATCCATTGGCGGTACCACCGTTCGGATGCCCAAGTACCTTGCTTGTTTGGTCGCGATGGCCATGGGTGTCTGACAATCCAGAAAAGGACGTGTCCTCCCCCCAAGCGGCCAGTCTGATTGAGAGGTCCTTTCAAGACCTTGGCGGCACCCTCCTTGGGAGGCCCAAGTGCCATGTCTGCTAGGTCGCGATGAGCAGGGATCTTGAATAGAGACGCAGATGCGAACCCACCAAGAGATGCCATTCGATGTGTGCCAACAAGGACCCCAAACAGTGAGAGTTGTACTGTGAATGTGAAAGCTACATGCGGTGTGTGCTATGTGGCGCAATATGCGTGGTGCAATCTAATATATTGGGTGCGACATGTGCGGAGTTGACCACGGGGTCCTATACATGTGGTAGGAGCTATGTGGTGAAAGCTATGTGGTTCAGTTCACTCGTTCGTGATCACGAATGAGCTGTCAACTCCACTGCTCGCGCAATTATCCAGGTCTCCCACTCGCAATCTGCTTCACAGCCTATGTGGCCGCGATTGCGGCGATTCCGTGGCGATGGCTGACGTGTCTCTGGCTGCGCTAGCGCGCGCAAGCTCGCGCCCAGAGCGACCAGCTTGTTGGGCACAACCTATGCGGCCGCGATGGAGCTTACCAATGGCAACATCCCAGCGCGTCTCAAAGGCCTTGCTGGAGCGCGGGCACTTCAATGCGGATCTGCGATTTGCGCGGGCGCGGTATCATGTCGACGACCACAACGGCAGGCACGATGATGACAGTAGCGATGGTGGTGGTGATGATGACGATGATGACGGCGTGGCCATTGACGTCACCGATACTTGTGACAACGATGACGGCGGTGATGCCCATGTGTCGGTTATGAAGGTGCTTGAATGATCATGGTGGCAGCGGCGGCGGTTGTCGACGACGGTGACGTGATGCGGCGGCACTGCTGAGTGTGATGGTGGTGAAGTGCACGCGCGCGGAAAGATAAGACTCATGGCAGACTTTGTGTTGAAACTCGCGCGGTTGGTTGATATGTTGTGGACGAGCTCGACTGTGAAATGCTTCGAAAACTATGGTGTTGGATTGTTGGGTGGAGTTCGAGACGTGCGCGTGATGGCGCGCGCGCGTGGCCCAACTGGTTCCAGTCGCCGATACGCATTCGCGCGTTGGGCGCAGGTCTGATCATATCGGATGTTCCGCGTGGTGTAATGAGAGTACGGATGTTGGACGACACTGCAAGACAAACGCATGGTTTCTTCATGATGTCAACAATCGTGCGCGGACAGAGAAACTTCAATACTGGGTAGGCCGTCCGACGGGTGTCGCCGACCATGAATGGGACGACGAGGAGGACGACGGCGGAGGCGGCGGCGACGACGTCGACGACGTTGACGCTCTAGAGATTAGGGCTCTCTTGGGAACCTATTGGGCTCTGTTGGGTGGCCCCTTTCGGGTCTTCTGGGAAAGTCCCGTTGCGACTTGGAGCCGCCTCGGAGCAGATCTGAGGCCTTCTAAAGGCATGTAGGAATCACGCAGCACCCCGCAACTGCAGATATGAGTGAGGAGGATGCCTCCGGGGGGGGGGGGGAGTTCGCGAGGGGGAGGGTTGTTGGTCCCCTTTTCCACAGCGGGGAGGCGGGGGGAGGTGTCCTAAGGTCCCCCTGTCCACAAGGGGGCCCCTCCCTGGGCCCCCTTGTCCACAGGGGGGACCCCCCGGGGAAGTCACGACCCCGGGGACTCCACCAGGGACCCCCCCCTGGGACCACCCGCGGGACCACCCCCTGGGAACCCCCACGGGACCCCCCACGAGCACCCCCCCGGAACTCCCCCCGAGCACCCCCCCGCGCTTCCCTCTACCCCGCACCAGGGAAGGGATCAATGAGCAGGGGCTGTGTTCGAATCAATTTCGACGTTGTTTGCTTTCCGTCTGGCTGGATCGCTTGAGGAGGAGGGCCCAGGGAAGGTGGGGGGCGGCGATGGCGACGATTCAAACGGAAAGACGTCTCACACACGCCGACAGAGTCGGCGGATTTGTAGTGAAAGCCCAAGGGATTGTGATGATTCGAATGTGAAGGCTTGCGAAACATTGGCGTCTGATATGATTTCGACATGTGCGCGTGCACTTGTACAGTGCGTTCTGTTCCGCCTGGGATTATGCAACAAAGAAAAGATCTGTTGCTATAGACGAGAGCGTTCGCATACTATGGTTTGACAGGGATGGGGGGGGGGCGATGCAGGTTGGGCTGGGATGGTATGAAGTCATTTGGAACATTCACGTCGACGCAAAAACATGTGTAACTTGCAGTGTCCCAGGGGATGCAAATATTTGTGGTGGCAGAGGGTGGTGGTAAAGTCTATTCGTCTTTCGAGAAGAGAACCTATGTGGTGCGGGCTATGTGGTGTACGCATGGGGCGGCCGCGAGGCGGCCACGAGGCCACCGCCGTGGCGAAACCTCGCCAGACCCACCCAGCGCACGAGGCGGCCACGAGACGGCCACAGGCAACGTGGCGAAACCTCGCTGGACCCACCCAGCGCACGAGGCGGCCACGAGGCGACCACGGGGGGCAGCACGGCGAAACCTCGCCGCACCCACCCAGCGCACGAGGAGGCCTCGAGGCGGCCATGGGCAACGTAGCGAAACCTCGCAGGACACGCAGCGCATGAGGCGGCCACGAGGCGGCCACGGGCGGCAACGAGGCGAAACATCGCTGGGTCCACCCAGCGCACGAGGCGGCCACGAGGCGGCCACGGGCGGCAACGTGTCGAAACCTCGCTGGCCCAACCCAGCGCATAAGTCGGCCACGAGGCGGCAACGTGATGAAACCTCACTGGACCCCCCCAGGGCTCGAGGCGGCCACGAGACGGCCACGGGCGGCAAGGTGGCGAAAACTCGCCAGATCCACCCAGCCCACGAGCCACGGGCGGCAATGTCCGCGTAAACCAAAATGAGGTCCAGGTTGAAAGGGGTGGTGGTTTTGGAGTTTGGATTTTGAGTCGTGACAACGACGTGTTCGCACCCCGATCTTTTCTTGGCGGGGTCTTGCAGCTCCGTGCGAGTTCGAGGCAACCCGCCAGCTGCGATAAATTGCAATACAACCGAGTGGCTGCAATATATTTGGGCGTGCAATGTTATCTGGGGCGCGAACATGTTGCTCGGCTTTTTCGTTCACATCTACTGATGCAATACAATCCTCTGGCGCCGTACATTTGTATCACAATTGCCCGTCGGCGATACATTTACCAGGTGTCGCCAGCACACATCCCAAGTGCAACGCGAGCGCAATGGCGGACAAGGCCTTCCATGCCAAGCGCGCCAACTCTTGATGCGAGTAGAGTCGCAGACGGGGGCCACTTGCAGACATGCGTTGCAACCAACGGCGGCAGGGCGCCACCATTTTAGCACGGGCCCATAAGATATTCCAGTGCCAGTTAATTGTTGCCAACACCGCCACCAACTTTTACCTGGACCCACGTTTGGGTTGCCCCAAAAACGGGCAAAACCTCGCCAGACCCACGAAGCGCATGAGGCGGCCACGAGGCCACCACCGGTGGCAACGTGGGAAACCCTCGCCGGACCCACCCAGCGCACGAGGCGGCCACGAGGCGGCCACGGGCGGCAACGTGGTAAATCGCTGCCGCACCCAACCAAGTCATGAGTGAGAACAGTATGAATCCCTAAGCGCAAGCACTGTTTGAAGAATCTGAGTGGGTCCGACAATCGGGGCGCAAACAGGTCCGTACCATAACCCTGATGGTCACCCCCGAAGGATCCCCCGTGGGGGAAGCATCATGCTTGCGACATCGCGAAAAGCATTCGATCTCGAAACAAGCGATTGAATGCATCACATTTTGCTTTGAGCGGCCCTCACCAACGAGTTTCAGTATATCACGAGGCGCCTAACACCCGCAATTGCGGGTACGAGTGATGCGGGCGCATGCAGCGTTCTATACAGGTTGCGGAGTTCGAGCGCCAATGCACTGAAGCCCGCCGCAGTCGCCGTTTTTTCCCCCGACCATCCTGTGGTGTTGGGTCCTCGTTTTGAGAAGACAGCGCCCCGCGATCCTCCTCCTCTCCTCCTCTCCTCTCCTCTCCTCCTCCTCCCTCCTCCATCCTCCGCAGTTCGCATGCGGTTCCCCCAACCAGTACGGCGCTTCGTGGCCCCATAAGGAGCTCCAAGGTCCAAATGGCGCAGCCCGCATGCGTCTCCCCCATTCAGTACAGCGTTTCGTGGTCCCGTAGAGGGCACCTGAGGTCCCAATGGTGCGAAAACGCATGCGTCGCCCACACCCAGTAAAGCGCTTCGTGGCTCCATAGGGAGCCCTACCGAAGGTCCCAGTGGCGCAGCCCGCATGCGTCTCCCACACCCAGTACAGCACTTCGTGGCCCCATAAGGAGCTCCACCTAAGGTCCCAGTGGCGCAGCCCGCATGCGTCTCACACACCCAGTACAGCGCTTCGTGGCCCCATAGAGAGCTCCACCTAAGATCCCAGTAGCGCAGCCCGCATGCGTCTCCCACACCCAGTGCAGCGTTCCGTGGCCCCATCGGGAGTTGCACCTAAGGTCTCAGTTGCGCAGCCCGCATGCGCCTCCCACACCCAGTACATCGTTCCGTGGCCCCATAGGAGCGCCACCGAAGGTCCAAGTGGCGCAGCCCGCATGCGTCTTCCCCACCCAGTACAGCGGCTCGTGGCCCCATAAGGGGGCTCCGCAGAAGGTCCCAGTGGCGCAGGCCACATGCGTCTCACCGACTGTCCCAATGGCGCAGCCCGCATGCGTTTCCCACCCCCAGTACAGCGTTTTGTGGCCCTGTAGGGGGCTCCACCGAAGGTCCCTGTGGCGCAGCCCGCATGCGTCTCCCACACACCCAGTAAATCGTTCCGTTGCCCCATAGGGAGCTCCACCGATGGCCCAAGAGGCGCAACCTGCATGCGTCTCCCACACAAAGTACAACGTTTCGTGGTCCTACAAGGGAGCTTCACCGACTGTCCCAATGGCGCAGCCCGCATGCGTCTCCCACCCCCAGTACAGCGTTTTGTGGCCCTATAGGGAGCTCCACCGAAGGTCCCTGTGGCGCAGCCCGCATGCGTCTCCCACACACCCAGTAAGTCGCTCCGTGGCCCCATAGGCCCATAGGGATCTCCACCGAAGGTCCCAGTGGCGCAGCCCGCATGCCTTACTATCACCCAGCACAGCGTTTCGTGGCCCTACAAGGGGGCTCCACCGAAGACGATACCTACAACTGCGGTGTTCACAACTGCAGATGGTTGGGCCCTTCGCCATGCGAATTCGGAAGCAGCCAGCCCGACTGAGGAGATTGTTTTTTATTGGGCGAACCCGTAACGTCCATGACAGGCGAGCCCCGCAACGGTACCGAACGTACGCCGGGGGAGGGGGGAAGGCCCCTCCCCCCCGTTAGTATGGCGCAGTGTTCACATGCATATTGCGGGGTGCAGGCAGGTGTGCATTCGTGTTCATGAGCATGCTGTTGCGCTCGCAGGCTGCTGCAGTGCCCATTGGCTTTGCCTAGTCGTCTTTATCGTCGCCGCCACCAGTCGTCTTCGTCGTCGCTGTCGTCGGAATCGTCGCCGTTGTCGTTGACGTCGCCGCCGCCGCTCGTCGTCCTCCTCGTGGCTGCTGCCGGTAATTACTGCTACTATTTGTCGCACTGCTACTACTCTCGCTAGTGCTACTACCTTGGCAGCGGCCCGAGACACGTTACCGTTACCCTGCCGCGGGGGACGGCGTGGGGGCCCGAGCCCCCTTCCAAAAATGGACGCGACGGGGATTGATAAAAGCAGCATCCAAGAGCACTCCGCGAAGCTAGTGGGTACGTTGAGGGGTATGGCGTCGGCGGATCTCCAGGCTCAAAGGCCAGTGTAAAGAAGCCCGCCGCAGGCGCCGACTTTCTCTTGTCAGATATGCCCGCCCGACGCAGTCGGCGACTTGTTTTCAATTCAGAGTGGTTTAGTCGCCAGCGCGGACCGCGGCTGCAGGTCGCGGGTGGGGCTCCTTAGAATCGAGCCTCGGACCCCTGATCAGGCCCCCCGCCTTCTGAAACAGCCGCCCTCCCACTCGCCCCACCCCTTTTGAGCGCCGCCACGAGGGGAGGAAGCAGAGGAGGCCGAGGCGGGGAGGGATGGAGGGGAACAGCAGGAGGCATCAGGGAGAGGGAATGGGCCGGATGTGTAACAGTTTGGCCGTCGGGATCTCTTTGGTCTTGGATGCCCATTTGTGTACCCCTCAATTCGTTGCAAACATGTGTGCAGCGAGCATAAGTGCCCGCATGACAGTCGCCGCAATAATGCAGCAGCATCAGTAGTGCATGAACAAGATGACAGCAAGCACCAGGTGGTGACAGGCCTGGGGTGCACAGACAATCCAGGTAGTTTTGACACTAAATGTTCATTTTATTGGAGTGTTTGGCTTTCCAATTTGGAGCAGCTTGTCACTGCTATCCGCGTTTGCATTTTTGTTGGCATGCTTGGCATGCTCCCATGCAAGACAAATGCAATGCTCTGCGCTAAGCTGCTAAATCAGTTTGGTCTGGCGTGGTTTCGCAACGACCACGTCATCATTGCAACGGGCTCCAACTTTCCAGTGCCTGTCAATGCTATGATCTCCAGGAGTTTGACTTCGATGGTCCCCATCAATTCCGCACTCAGCTTCACATGTGAGGCTCAATGCCTCGTTGTCCCTGGCGCTGTGTGCGCCCTCGTTTGCTTGGCCTTTCACGGTCGCTGCGAGTGCTTCGCACACGTTTCGTGCCAACCGTTGCGTTGGCTTGTCGGGTGATTGGGGTTGTCAGGTTGCTCTTGTCGGGCGCTCCCTCGCACATCCGCCAAAGTGGTGTGGGTGTAGGCACCGCGAAGGTAGGACATGAAGGGCTGGTGACACAGTGCGGCGGTAGATTTCCATGCGCATGCCGATAATCAGTGAGTGCCACGGTTCGTGCCGGCCCAGGCAGTCGTCATTCTGACGGTCTAGCAGTATCGGCGAAAGACGACGCTGCATGCATTAGTGACCGCACTGCTGAAGTATTGCGTGTGTTGTTTTGCAATCGGGTTTGCGTGCTGGGGATTTTGTTTTTGATATGGTTGTAACCCTGGCGGCTCATCCACAGCGGTTGACGCATGATTCGCGCTCAAATTTCACCGTACCCATTATGGGACGTTGTCCTATAGTCTCGTGGCAGTCTTCTGGGATCGAAGGGGATCGAAGTGGGCTTTGGAGCATCCATTCATTTAAGCATCAGCCGTGGATCTGATTTCACAGTCTGTGCTCAAAGCATCACACGTTCTGCACACGTCTTCCGTTCCGCCAGGAGGATGGGTGGGTTTGCGTCCATATTGATTACGATACGTATTACCTCCCGACTCACGTGAAGGGTATTCAGGTGTTCCGTGCATGTTTTATTTTGTGTCCGATCGTTTGCCAATCGCATTCTTCAATGATTTGCGATATGCGCATGCTTCATTCTCGGATGCAAAGTTACGTGCAGACACATGCAGCTATGCAGGTGACGGTTGCGTGGGTACTTCCCGAGATGCGCGCGTACATTTGCTCATGTGCCGCAGCAAATCCATGTACACACATGCGCACACATGCATACGCGCCTGCCTAAGCCGAGATGCCATCCCCCCATGTGCTGCCTCACCCTTTCTGCTTACACTGTACAGTGACACCGGTAGGTGTTAGTCCCTCAACCTCCGACGCTCCGGGCTTCAGCCTCGGACGCACTTGGAAAGAGAGCGGCGCTGGAGGACAGCTCCGAAGTTGTCTTTCCTTGCAGTGGGAGGGAGCTTTGTATTTATGCTCGTGGGGAGGAGCCCGAGGCGGGAAAGAAGGATTAGAAGCATGATGAGATGCATTGGGGGCGGGATGCCGCTCCCTCGTTTTGTTGCTGCGCTGTTGGCATCCCTGGTTGAAGAGTTGCGTTCGGTTGGACAGATGGCCGTCCGGGTAATTTAATTGAACGCCCCTGAGGGGGCAGACATTGCCGCACAACCTGTGTGGGATCGTGGATTTTTAGAAGAGAAGTGGAGACTTTGGGAGGGTGGGTGGAGGAACAGGAGGACCATTTGAATGATCCCAGAGGGCGAGAGGAGGTGCAAAACGGCCCCAGAGGTTCCCGGAACGCGACCAAGCTGGCAATTGTAATGATCCCAGAGAGCGAGAAGGGGGTGGAAGACGGCCCCAGAGGGCGTCCAAAGCCGCCAGAAAATTACCGAGGAGGGCTCCAAGAAGCTGCGAAAACAACACAAGAGGGCACCCAGAGGTGTGGTAAATTGCGGACGAAACCGAAGAGGGAAACGGACAGGCAAAACGGAGCATTGCCAGTTAATCTTGGGGCTTCGGAAAGGCCTCCAGGGACCCCTAGGCGCGCCCAAGAGCGCGTTTCTTTCTGTTCGGCGATGACGGGCGTCATTGGGGGGAGGGGTGGGCGAGGGGGGAGTATGGCGTAACGCCCCCCTCGCCGTGTGGCTCCGGCACCGCAGCCGCGCCCGCGCGCGCGATGCGACGAGCGACGAGCGACGACGACGACGACGACCACGACGACGACGATCACGATGACGGCGACGACGATGTCGACGACGCGAGCAGCATGTAGGTGGCGATATGCCCCACTGGACCTGTGTACACCACAACGCTCCCGTGCACCACAGCGCGCGTGTATACCACAGCGACTGCGTACACTGCAACAACCGTGTGCAACGCAGCGCCTGTGTACACCACGATGCTTGCGTACACTACAGCGCCAGCGTACAATTGCACACCGCAGCTACCATATGCAACACAGCGCCTGAGTACACCACAATGCTTGCGTGCACCGCAGCGCCTGTGCACGCCACAGCGCGCGTCTACACCACAGCATCCGCGTGCAACGCAGCGCTGGTGTACACCACAATGTTTGCGTGCATAGGACAGGTAGAAGAAGCATGTACGCGAGGATCTGCTGCGGACAACTAGACACCACGCCAGGAAATTCGTCATATTCGAATGCGACGTTCTTCCCTCCTCCCTCCTCCTCCTCCTCCTCCTCCTCCACCTCCACATCCGTAGCCATTTTGGCTCAAGATGTCCTGGTGCGCAGCGGCGTCCAAATGGATACCGCTGTGCCGCGGCCAGGAGTGGGGATTCCTTTGCAGCCACACCCAGGGCGTGCTGCCGCCAAAGACTGGTCCGCGTGGACCCACAGTTTTGTGCCCGCGAGGGCTCTCCACCGCAGTGCATGGCGGCCGAGGAGGAGCGGCGCAGGGCGGGTCGTGCTGGTGGTGGCCACCGCGGCCCTGGTGCTGCTGACGGGCGGAGGCGCGGCGACAAGGGCAAGGAGCAGCCCCCAGCCGAGGACCTGCGGTCGGCCTCCCGCAGCACGAACGAGCGGGCCCCTGCGCGGCGTCGGGCTCGGCGGGGCCACCCACGCTCTGACGGCGAAGCGGATGCCTCGGGATCGCCGGCCAGTGATCGTGCGCGCCATGGACCTGGAGGACTCGATCGCGCCGCCCAGGATGAGCTCGCGGCTGCTTTCGAGGCGGCGGCCACCTTCCCCTCGCAGGAGCGTCAGGCCATGCAAGTGGAGCAGGCGCCCGCTGGCAACCCGCAAGCTGGACCTCAACATGCTCCTCCTGACCCGTGGCAACGCCCTGGTGGGGACCCGTGGCATGATCGTGCTGCCCCCGCTGATGGACACTCTGAACCTCCTGCTGCTGGCACTCCCATCGGTGGGATGGCCACTCCTGTGGACGCTGGCGGCATGGACATGCAGGCCATGCTGCAGAGCTGCATTCGCCAGGCCACCGACGCCATCGCCGCGACCTCCATGGCCCAGGTCACTTCCTGCCAGACGCAGCTGGTGCGCATGTTTCAGACCCAGCAGGAGGCTGTCAACAGGTCCCTCGCCGTGCAGACGCGCGACATCGCATCCATCGGTCAGCGCGCAAACGCCCTGGAGGCGGAGCAGGCTGCCATGCGCATGCAGATCGGGGACATCAACAAGGCTCTCGCCCTCGCAGAGAAGGAGCTGCCCATCATGGACTTTCAAGAGCTGGAGGCGTGGTCTCGTCAAGCCAACCCGCGGATCTTCTCGATTGGGGCGCCGCAGTTGGTTGGACCCGCCCAAGCTCTGCAAGGATTGGAGGAGTGGATCCGCGCGGCTGGCCTCACCAACGACATGGTCCGCATCGATCCTGCGGTCCCCTCCAAGCGCTTCAACGTCTTGGTGCAGGGCGGCGACGGTGTCGCTCTCCCTCGGGCCCAAGCACTTGCACGGCAGCTACGTGACCCAGCTGGCAGGAACGGATGGCGCTCCTTCAGCGCCCAGAGCGTCGGTGGTGGCGCCGTCCCGCTGTACCTCTCGCCCGACAAGTCTCCGCAGCAAGTTCGGATGGAGGTTCAGTCGAGGAGGCTCTCGGCTCTGCTGGCAGAAGCTCATCCTGATCTGTCTTTCAGTGCTCAGCGGGCCCGTGGCATCGTCACCTCCCAGGGCGTCAAGGTTGCCAAGCTCGAGATGGGCGAATTTCGCTACACCGGCACTATCATCAGGTGGAACCCAGACATGGTCGCCAGGCTGCACATCGACAGGGAGTCCATCAACACGCAGTTCAAGAAGGCCTTCTCCACGGAGGACAACACCGAGTGGATTTAGCACCCCACTGTGGGCGCCATGGCGTCCTCCTGGCGATCGGCATGGCTTCCGTGGGCTTCACCTGGTCGTGTGGAATGCCCGTGGCCTGCTCCACTCGGACGCGAGGCTGCGCAGACGCAAGTTGGCACTGCTCGCCACATACATGAAGGTCAACGCCATCATCGCCGCGCAGGAGGTCCACGGCTCCGAGGACGCCCTCAGGATCTTCCTCCAGTCGCAGCCGCAGAAGTACTTGAGCTTCCTCTCGCCTGGCTCTTCCGCTGCCGTGGGCGGAGTCGCCTTTCTCGTCCCTCGATGCGTCGATGAAAGTCCAAGGGCGGAAGGACCCAGAGCCGAATCTCTGGGACGCGGGGGCGTGGCGTGGCGGGTGGGCCCTCCTGAGTGTGCCTCGCCCCCTGCTGCATCCTTACCGACTCAGGACACCTGGTCAAGTGCACGAACCTCCTCTTCTCCGACGACAGCAAGTTGCTCCGACACCTGGTCAAGTACACGACGTTCCCCCACGACTTCCACGTCACTACCGAACAACACCTGGTCAAGTTCACGAAACTCCACACCTGCTCTGCCGTCCTACCGCTTCGACATAGTGGCGGTCGGCCGCGCGGCGCTCCTCACGATCACCGACAGCACGGGCAAGTGCAGCATGCAGATCTTCAACATCCACAACTACGACCTCAAGCCGCACGAGTTCACTGCAGCACAGCGCACTTGGTCCAGTGGCTTGGCGCGGGCGCGCCGAGGCTCGTTACACCGCATCTTCCTGGGCGTCGGTGACTTCAACATAGCTACCCGCCCGCCAGTCAGTCAACGAGCACCCTCAGACTCTACGGCTTGGCGCCTCCGACCTGATCACCGCTGCCAACTTCGGCAACCCGCGTGGCGCCGTCTATTCGCTGCAGCCATGGAGGTTGAGTCTCAATGGCCGACCCACTACGACAAGTCCTGCAAGCAGCTGTCCACGATCGACCGCATCTTCTTGGGCATCGACGCGCACGCCATGCTCTCGGTCTCGACGACCCTTACCACGGCGAGGGACGCGATGGAGCTTCCCGAGGCGGGCATCAGCGACCACGCGCCCCTCGCCCTGCAGATCACTGCCGCGCGCCATGTCCCACGAGACGAGCAGCCAATCCCGACGCACCTCTTCAACCACAGGAAGTACCCCGAGACCTACACGCTCATGCTGGACCACTGCGCCCTGGCTGGGGAAACGGCGGAAGGCCGCTGGAGAGCAGCGAAGCAGTGCATGAAGCTTGCTGCGCGACGTGTTCGTGATGAACAGCTGCGGACCAACTTCTCCCTACACATCAAGGACTCCACGGTGGAGACCTCGTACATGGGTTTCAAATCGGCGGCGCGAGCAGTCTGGCGACAGGACGCTGTCCTGGCAGGTAGGCTTCTCGACTCCCGGCCTGCGCTGGCCGCCCACCTCCACATTAACGACGGCACCGTGCGCCTCGTGGGCCCCCACAGCTTTGCCACCAACTTCGACGCCATCGCCGAGCGGGTGCGCCCCCTGCGCAGGCAGGCGGCGGAGGCAGCAGCTCGGACGGCCAACGTGCGCGACAGCGCAGCCTGGCGGAGGGTTGAACGCAAGGCCGCCAGACATGCGCAGCTCTGGGCCCCGTGGAGGCGCCGCATGATCCTCTCGGGCTTGCGCGTGGATTCCGCACCGTGTGCCGCCAAGGACTCGCAGGTGGCTCAGCACGCGGTCTCCGACCCCGCGGGCATGAAGGCGACTGTGGCGAACTACTGGGGTGAGATCTTCGCGAAGGTGCCGAATTCTGAACAGCTCAAGGCATTGGACGCCTTCCTGGACAAGCACGCACCAAGGAACCCTGCGGTGGAACTACCTCAACCTGCTCTACACGACCTGGAACGTGCGGCCAGCAGGGCCCCGCCGAGCGCTGCGGGACCAGATCAGCTGACGTACGCAGCATGGCGCCGCAGCCCTGGAGCCTTGCAGCACCTCCAGGGACCCATGGAAGTCCTCTTCAACGACGGCGTGGCCCCGCTCGACCTCAACTGGTCGATCTTCATCTGCGCGCCGAAGGGCACGGAGGAGGACGACGTCCCCGACTCATGCACGCGCACGGCCTCCACGGTGCGCACCCTCTCCCTGAAGAACTGCGACGCCAAGCTGATTGCGGCCTGTGCAGATCGAGGGCTCCAGCCCATCGCCACATCATCTACCTCACCCGAGCAGAAGGGCTTCACTGCTGGGCGGCGCTTCGTCGACCACATCCCGTACTTGGACGCGGAATGCCGTAGGGAGGGCCTTCTTCCTGACGCGGCGACCCGCCGCCCCATGTTCCTGTCGTTCGACTTCCGCCAGGCCTTCCCCTCGCTCTTCAGGGAAGTCGTCGAGAAGGTCCCCCCGCGCTTCGGGATCCCGCTGGGCTTCCGCAACGTGATCGCGGCGCTCTACAGCAACTGCCTCGCCTTCAGCTCCTTCCGCGCCGAGGGCACCAGCGCGGAGCTCGAGCCGCTGTTCGCGCTCTTGTGCGGCATCATGCAAGGATGCCCGCTCTCTGGCACGGTCTGGTGCTTGGCCATGGATGCGCCCATCCGCGCGCTGCTGGCTGCGATTGCTGAGCATGGATTCCTCACGGCTTGCGCCGACGACCTCGGGATGCTGATCAAGAACGCTGTTGCCCTCCCTAGCATAGACTACACCTTCGTCTCCATAGAGCTTGCCTTCAACCTGCAGCTGGCCCTGCACAAGTGCGTGCTGGTCCCGCTGTGGGAGGAGCTAACGGAGGACACACTGCTGAACGTTAAGTCTTTCCTCGCCAAGGAGGTCCCCCGCTGGCTGGGCTTCCGCGTCGACTCCACGGCCAAGTACCTGGGGACTCACCTGGGCCCAGGCGTCACGGACTTCGGCATCTGGAAGGCTGCTGCGGGGAAATGGTGGACCCGCTGCTGGGAGCTGGCGCGCACTGGCATGGCCACCAGCCTTGCGGCCCGCGCGTGCAACATCAACGCGCTTCCGTGCCTGTCGTACCTCGCGCAGTTCTACTTCATCGTGCCTGCCATCTGGAAGGTCGAGTTCACCTCCCTGCACCGCCTGCTGCGGCTGCCGCCCTCGTCCATGCGCAAGGCTGACATCCTATCGATGAGCGCGCGGTGCGGCTCCCCGTCGCCGATTGGCCTCTTCCCATACACGCTCGCGGCGATGATGCGCTCGGCGGAGAACGCGGCACGCGGATGGGAAGCCCACCTTCACCACCTCCATGAAGCTGCCGTGGAGCATGTCCCACTGATTGACGTGATCAAGGGCAACTGGTCTCCGCCGTGGTGGCGGACGCGGAGGGCGATCGTGCAGAACTACGCCATGATCTCGGGCGCCTACGGCCAGCTGGACATACCCAGACCGACGCTCGACGTGCTCTCGGTCCCGATCCCGAGCAGGTACCTCAAGATCGCGAAGTCGGCGATGACCCTGGAGACGAAGGCGGCGGCAGCGGCCACTCCCTCCAGGAAGCCCAAGCGCCAGGCCACGGCCGCCGCTTCGCTCCGTGGCTCGCTGTACCCCGAGGACCTGGTGGCCACCATCCACCGGCGGCTGCGCAGGTGGGGTGTCGAGTGCTCGCTGCCCGTGCTGCGCGAGAGGTGGCCTCCGCTGCGTAGCAAGCTGACGGAGGTCCGCCCTGCTTGGATGTGGTCGTGGATGCGCACCGCGGTCAACGGCTGGACGACATCGCGTCGCATGAGCGCCGTCATCGACGCGCGTCCTTGCCTCTTCGGCTGCGACCAGGAGGACGCGCTAGAGCACTACATCGCCTGCCCGATCCTCAGGGCGATGACTGCGGGCGACGCGGGTGCGGACTCCCTGGGCAACGGCCTCGAGCTCCTCGGCTTCGGCGACGAGCAGTACCACGCGAAGCGACCCATCACGGATTGCATCTACGCGGTCGGCCTCATGTGCCAGTGCTACCACATCCAGAAGCACCGCATGGACGTGGGCCTGGACGCTGGAGCTGACCAACGGGCTGGTGTGAGACTGGCCGCGCTGCACCGCATGCAAGCATAGGCGAGGCTGCAGATCGAACTGCCCGCCAAGCTTCGTGCCCTCCTCCTCCACCTCCACCTCTTCCTTCTCCTCCTCCTCCTCCTCCTCTTTACCCCCTGTCGTGCGGCTTGGCGCTGCAGCGCATGTGCGCATCGCACCGCGCACCGCAGAATGGTCTGTCTATTGAATCGGTCCACTTGGTTCTCGGACGGCCAATCTAGCTGGAACCTCCTGGACGCAAAGGAAGGAGTTAGGATGACGTGGGCGGATTCGGGAGGACACGTAGATTCCAACGGCGCTCCGTTGTCCACAATGTTTATTTTAGATTGTTTTGTGTGGAATCCACAAGCGTTCCAGTTTGTCATAAGGATTCGTTCTTACATTCTATATACACGGTTGCTGTGGTGCTGTGTTGTACACGCTTGCTGTGGTGGGTACAGGCGCCGTGGTGTACACAGGCACTGCAATGCTTGCAGGCATTGTGGTGTATATTGGCGCTGTGTTGCACACGGCTGATGTGATGAACGCAAGCGCTGCGTTGAGCACAAAAGCTGCTGTGCCCGCAGGCACGGTGGCGCAACCTGACGCTGCGTTGCACGCGGCTGCTGTTTTGAACATAGGCGGTGGTGTACACAGGCGCTGTGGTGCACGCAGGCACTGCGGTGTACACGGGCGTTGTGGTGCAAATCGCCACCTACATGCTGGCGCTACCCGCCCTCCGTCATTCCTAGGCATTCCAAGCGCCGCCGGCGCGAAATGTGACGTCATCGAACCCTTCCATCCCACCCCCTAGATGATTGCCGTCATCGGCCCGGGAAAAAAAGCAGGCTTCAGCCGCGCCCGCGCGCACGACGATTATGAACGACGAGCGACAAGCCACGAGCGACGACGACGACGACGACGACGACGACGACGACGACGACGACGACGACGACGACTGCGGACCAGACTCCCATGCGGATTCCTACGCGGACACCTACGCGGATCCCAATGCGCACAGCGGCAGTGCTCGGAGCGCACCGGGGGGCAGTGCCCGGAGCGCGCTGGAGGGGGGAGCGTTACGCCATAGGGGTAGGGGGAGGGGGGAGGGGGCCATGACGCCCGTCATGCCCCAAGCAATAGAGAAACGGGCTCCAAGATCGTTCAGGACATCCCCAGAAAAGCGTCCAGATGGCCGAGGAGGGCCCCGAGAGGCTGTCGGGACGGCCGCAGAGAGCATCTGCATGTTACAAGATGACAGCAAGAACCCGCGGAGATACGCGGGATCTCGAAGAGAGGCGCCAGTAGCATCCCGACAAGGACAGAATCGCCATAATATGATGTATGTTCCCATGGTTTTTGCTTGTTGAGGGTTTCTCATGTATGAGATTCGAAAAAAGCGGGGTGGCATCTGGCGCGGCTGGTGACCCGAAGGACGGCGAATATCAACCCAGAAAGAGTTCCCAGAGGCTCCCAGATTTGGCCCAGTGGGCTCCCCGAGAGGTCCCTGAAAGAGCCTGGTTGCGCTCGGAAGCCGAGCGCGTGAATGGGATGTCGTTTCGGGGCGGAAGAGGTGGCCAGATGCCGCCCTGGCCGCAACCTGGGCCCTCGGACCAGCGGAATGAGTGGGCCGCGGCGAGGAGCCTAGGAGGGGTTCTGGGCTCAGAGGCAGGGGTAGGTATGAAAAGCGCGCTGATGAGAAGACCGACAGGAAGCACTCTTGAAGGCCATGCTGTGGACTTCACTAGCCGTACCTTGCGGGGCGGCGGATCGCGTCGCTCACTCCGCCAGCCCACGTTTTCTTGCCACTGTCGTTTGTCTGGGCGTCGTTGTCAACGCGGTGCCGCTGGGGCCGCGAAGGTGCTTCCCAGGGGCCCCTTGAAAAGGCCCCCATATAGGGCCTTTGGGGCGCGTCGGGGGCCTCTTTCTGAATCCGCGGGCTTTTCAGAGCCCGTCACGTCGTAGAAGTCTATGTTCTGAAAGAGGAGCGCCCTTTTGCTCCGGCACATGCGCAGCGGCCAGATGCCGCGGCAGGGGGCGCAACTCGCCCTGTCGCATAAATCCCGCCCTCCCGCAACCGAGCCTTCAAGGCTGCGGGGGAGGCGACGTGCTCAGCTGAACCCCTCACGAGATCTCCATCGCAATCAAACCGGGGGAGAAGAGATCAGCTCCAGCATGTCCGCATCGGCGCCTCCAGATGCCGTCTGCTTGGTTGAGGAGCGGCCCCGCTTCCTGCTCTCCAGGATCTCCTTGGCCTGGGAGTGGCCCAGCTCATTCGTCTCGTCGAAGATCCCTTTCCCGAGCGCCGACCTCTTCCGAGCCGAGAGGAAGCGCTCACCATGAACACTATTCCAACGCTGGTGCATCAAGAAAGCGTGGGGCACGTTGAACGCTTGCAGGCTGGCCTTGGCCATGCCATCGGCTCGCTGGGCATGGCTGCGCACCCGGCGAACTGAAGTACCACCTTCCTCGAGAGCACGTCGAAGAACCAGGGCTTCGATAGCCGTTCTCCTCTCGTCCAGTCCGAGCCCGGCCGGCTCTGACTTCGCGACGCCGTCGTAGAAGGCCTTGCAGTCCGTCGCGAGGGTAGCCAGCACGTCCTGCAGGGCCCGCGAGGTCGAACGGTCCGAAGAGCACCAGCGTCACCATATTGTCTGCTCGCCCTCGGCGTCGCTGGCCTCCTGGATCTCGGCAGCCAGGCTAGAACGGGCGACCCTCTTCAGCTTGCGCGACTCCCAGTCCAGAACAGTGAAGTTGGCCACGTCGCGGAACGGTGTCTCGGCAGAGCTCGGAGCTGTCGCGCGTCCGCCACGAGAATGACCGCCCGGCCGGCTCGCCCAGGCAGCGTCGCACCAGGTGCACGCGCGGGAATCAGGAGGCCCGTTCTGGCAGCCAGGTAAGGCGCGACGAATGATTTGAATCCCGTCGTTCCGGTTGGCCATGACCACATTGGCAATGCTGTTTGCGATGTTGAAGAGCTTGTAGTCGCCGGCGGGACTCTTGCTCTGCGCGTCCGCGACCCAGGCTGACGCCCAGGGTGGAGTATTTACGCCAAGCCATGACAGTGCACCACACCACGTCCGAAGAGTACTCTGGTCGGCCCCGGTCAGCTTGTCGTTGGAGCGCGCCTTGGGGTACTTCGGTGTTATCTTCTTGAGCTTGTCGGTGTGGGCCCGCTGGTGCTGGAATATCCCCTTCTCGTTAAACTTGATCATGGCGCCGCGCTGCTCGATGGAGCTGGTTCCGTCCTCCATGTCCTCCCAGGTGCCCCGCGCGTAGAGCTCCCTGATGCCCTTAATGGCAGACTTCCAGGATGAATGTCCTCGATCGCCGCAGAGAACGAAGTCGCCCACGTGGCGCGCGACCAACCCGATGAGCTCCTTCGTCGAAGGACATCGCAGACACCAGAGGGGCGGTTCGAGGTCGCAGGCCTGCAGTTTCAGCTTGGCGAAGTCCGACTTGGCCGTGAGCCGCCACTTCCTTGGGGCCTCTCCGATGCCGTAGCCTGGCTTCAGTACCCGAAGTACTTCACCAGGCTGAACGCCGAAGGCGGAGGAAAGGGCCTCGTCGGCCTCAACGAACAGGTCCTTCTTGAGGTCGTAGGCCTGGGGGAAGGCGCTGGCCAGGTCGCCCTCGACGATGTTCCAGTGGTTCGCGGCCGCGATGGTGAGCAGGATGTTCCTGGCACGTCTGGGCGCCGTCGGTCAAGCAGTCGGCTCCTTCCCGGTGTCCTTGATCTGGTAGCCGTGGAGGACTAGACGGGCCTTCGCGGTTCCGTCGGCCTTCCGCGTCAGCACCCAGCGGCACCTGATCGCATCCGCAGGGTTCTTCACCTCCGAGGCGGGCACCGGCCGTAGTCCCTTGTACTGCTTCCAGTAAATTACCTCCTTCGTCATGGCAGCCTGGAACTCGACCTTCTCCGAGGGTGATAACTTACCCCGGTGGAACTCGATCTTGTCCTTGCGCTTCTGGTTGGCGACGAAGCAGTCCAACATCTGGGAAGCGAGGCGGCGGCCCCCTTGGCTGTCCGCGAGCTCGGACTTCAGCATCTCGAAGTAGACCGTCATGTTCTCGTCAAGGAACTCGAAGGCGGCGAGCCCCGACTCCCTGAGCGTGTTCACATCTACGAAGAGATCGTCCTCGCTGTTCGCCTGGTCCCAACAGTCCCGGCCCTTCGTGTCGGAGTAGGGCCCTGGTCGGTTGGCGCGTCGTTCAGCGGGTAACTGACGGTAGGTGTCCTCGCTCTCCTTGGAGCACGTGCGCCATCGGCGACCAGGGGGGCCCTCTTCGATGGTCGAGATGCTGGAGGGCGTCGGAGGGGCGAAAGGCTCACCTGCAGGTTCCAGAGATCCTGGGGCGTCAGCTTCTAATCCAGGTGCCTCATCCTCCATCGGCTCGGCTGCGGTCGCGTCTGCCTGCGTCTCGGGAGGCATGACCGTCTGGGGCTCGAAGTGCTGGATGGCTGGGCGGCTCTCGTCGGTGAGGCCCTCGAAGGCCCCGCGCCGAGCCGCCTCCATCAGGTCCGACATGGAAGCGCCACTTTTCTCCACGTTGGTCAGCTCGACGACCATGCGCTCGGCCTCAGTGGCGGGCCGCAACTGCTCGGGCGCGCAGCGTAGGAGAACGTCGCCGTGTGAAATCCAAATCACCGAAGTAGGCCTCGAGGAGCCCGCCAGAATCCGTTGCCCTGGTACCGGGACTCGAGCAGGGCCGTGCCACGTGGCCTTGACGGGTCCGCGGCCCTTCCGCCAGTGGTAGCAGTGCTCGCCAATGTGCCGGCGTGTAGCGACGCGGCTGCGTGCATGTTCGGCATGGCGACGTCGTTCCGAGTGCTCTACCTCGAGGAAGGACTGTCTGGCAGTGGGGCGCCGTTGTTCTCTGCTCTCGCCGTTCCCGCCGTCGATGATGGCGAAAGAGTTGTTCGAACATGGGCGCCGCCGATGCCGAAGGCGTGGGCGTAGGGAGAATGGCTCCCCACCCTGTCGAGGTCGCTGATGGCGTGGATGACCTGGCTGATGGCTTCGCCGATGTCGCAGTCGTAGTTCTGCTTCCGGAACTTGGTGAGCGCCCTCTTGAAGAGCTGGGTGCGCCGCTCGACCTTGCCCATGAGCCAGTGGGCCTCGCCAGGAGCAATGGACATCTCGATTCCACGAGAGCTGCACCAACCCTTGGTCAAGTCGGCACGGTGACATCCTTCAGCGTCACATCGGATGAGCCGCGGGGCTCGGTAGTGGTCGGCCCAGGAGCGCCAGGTCTCGAAGACGTCGGCGGCGGACCTGTTGCCGGACCGCTGGGACTTGTCGCCGTGGTCGGTCACCAGCGCGAGACCTGATCCCTCGTCAAGGTTGAGAGTCAACAGGTAGATCGCGTCGTCTTTGGGGTCGGTCCACTTCAAGCCGTCACTGCCCATTACTTCGAAGACCTCGGGGATCTCGATGCCTGCGACTGTCCGAACGGCCTTCGGCAGCACGGAGGAGTTGCAGGCGTGGCACTTGAAGTTCTTCGCCATCTTCAGCACCTGGAGGCTGGCAACCGAGTTCTTCAGGATCTTCACCATCGTCCGAGCGCTGAGATGGCCGAGATTGCGATGAAGCCAGCCGAGGCCGTGTTCGATCTCCTGCTCCTCCTTGGTGCTCAGGCGGCCTCCGTCCTTAGCCAGCTCCTGGCCGTTGTCCCCGCCGAGCTCGTCGTCGGACTCGGCCTGGCCATCAGGCTCGACGTCGTCGTCCCCCGCGATGTCCGTGTAGATCTGCTCGTCGGACTCGGCCTGGTCATCAGGCTCGACGTCGTCGCCCCCTGCAATGTCCGCGTAGATCTGCTCGTTCGCCACGCTGTCGCAGGTGAGGAGTGCCTGAGAGCCAGCTGCAGCTCCGCCTCCTGCGCGAAGGATGTGCTTCGCCCAGGCCTTGCGCAGAGCAGCTGGATAGAACGCCGTCGAGGCCGCGACCTTGCCGCCGATGATCTCGCCGTGCTCGTGGTTGCCATGTCGACTTGGACGGTTGCTGCACCTCTTGCCGATCGCCTTCTGTAGCTCGGCATCCGTTGAGCAGATCTTCCCGACCTTGGGCAGCAGCAAGCCGCTGCGAGGGCAACGTAGTCCGTAAGCGCATCCCGACACCAGCGTCTCGTAGGTCTGCTCCTTGATGCGCTGCAGAGACGCAGACCGTGACCAGCTCTGTGAACGTCGAGGCTGTTCGAGGTCGACCTCGTCCCGTGGCACTGCAGCCCGATGGAGAGGAGGGTCTCGCATCCTGCCTGTATCCGCCTGGCCTTCTGCACCCTCCTGCGAAGCTTCTCTCGGTCCTCCGCGGTCTTCTGGTTCCAGTTCTGCAGTTGGCAGTCCGCAGTGCAGGGGGGGCTTCTCACGATACGTCGGGGCCGGTGTTGGCGTATCCACAGAGCCAGGCGTCGAACTCCGGTCTTGGTCGCCATGTCGAAGCCGTTGTGCACTCCAGCGCGACAGGCGATCCCGCCCTGGTCGACCACCGCCTGAGCCAAATCAGAAATAGGCGACGCGCAGACCTCCATGAGGTCGTATCGGCCCTGGCGGACTAGAAAGTTGATGTCGTCCCCGATCTCCTTCTTGTAGCCGAGGCCGCACTGGTCGATAGCTTGCTGCAAGACGTCGAGGTCCTCGTGGTTCAGAGCTGCTCGCGCCCCCGCTTGGTCGCTGTCTCCTTGTCGGCTGAGTCGCCCATTATCTCGAAGGACTCCGATGAGGGCTCGCTCGCCAGCCTCTTCAGGATCTTGTTTAGCAGCCGCCGCCAGCGTAGAGTGGTCACCTCCTCCCTGGTCAGCCCGTTGAGAGGCACCCAGGCTGGATGAGCTGGTACTGCTCCTTCCCGCGGCTGCTGCTTCTTTCGACATGGAGGCTGGTGCCCGTCGAGGGTGTTGGTGGACGGCTTCCCCTCCTCCAGCGGGAGGCACTTGTGTGACGTTCCGCCCGTGCATGAACATCCGCTCCGCTTGCGTCCCAGCTGGCCGCAGCAGCCGCATCTCTGAAACCCCGTCGCTCGAGACCCTGCCGCCTGTACCAAGGTAGCCGTAGGATTCGTCCCCGAAGCGCTGGCAGTCGCAACCTTCGGGGACACAGAAGCGAAGTCGCTGTGAAGAGCACGGGCGTCGGCCTGCACCTGAGCTGTCAACGACGTCGGCAGCTTCTGACTGAATGACCGCGCAAGAAACCACCGCAACCGGAAGTTATGGATGTTTCTTTAAACTGTTTTTTTGTTGGTTGTTCTGTTGTCGCGGTTAATGTTGGCACGTGCTTCGATTTCACATGTATCGCGTTCTCGTGGGGTCGCTTCGTTGCCACTTGCAGAGCGTCTCCCGCAGACCTTCCCTTCGACGTGCTGGCGCGAGACCGAGTGGCGTGCCTGCGCGGCGCGGCCTGTTTAACACGACGCGCGTGCGCGCAGTTCAGAGGAGTTTACATTCGTAGCCGCCTGATTGTTGCGGCACCGCGCCATATTTTTTTGCGCGGCGCGTAACGGTCTTTTCGGATGCCATTTGCGCGTGTTTTGCATGGGCGGATCGCCTTGGCGCAGCGATGCTTCGCGCGGCGTGGTTCGGCCGCTTTTGCGCGATGATGCGCCCGTGTGCGTGTGTGTTGTCAGAGCGGCTCTGCGTGACGGAGTGTCCAGTAGCGATTACCATGCCGTTAAGTTTGTTCCTCGTGGGCACGCGGGCCCCCCGCCCATTTCCCCTTCTTCGCGGCGCGCCACATTGTTGGAGTGTCTATAAGTTTGTTTCGTTGGGCGCTTGCGCATGTGATTTTTTTGTGAGCATTGTTCATTTGTTGTCCACCTTTCGCGCGACCTCTTCTGGTTGCTTTCCCCCTCGTCCACTCGCATTATGTTTTGATGGTGTTTTATTGCGCACGTCTCAAAGTGGAGGGCCCGGTCCGCTCGTGGAGGGCGCGACATTGTTGACAAATCATACGCGTCGCGCGGTTGTGGTAGAAACCACGGCGCGTGCGTCATGCCGATCTGTTCGCGGCAAGTCCCGCGCACCGCGACCGCGCAGCACTCGGCGTGGCGAGTCTTCGAGCACCGCCACGAAAGCCATAACGCGCGACATGTCGTCGCCCATAGCCTTGCAAGGGCCGCAACATGTGACGCGCTCTTCCGCGCCGCTTCGGGGCGCACTCCTTCGTCTACGTCGTCGCCCTCCCCCTTCCCACGTCCCCCATGTTGTCACCCTCCCTTCTTCCATTTCGTTCCCCTTGTCTCATGATTGCGTCTCCTGGGGTTCTCACGTGGCACACATGGACAACATGTGGTATGTCATGGGTTACTGTCGGGTTGTCATGGGGGCTTCCTGGGACACTCTTGAGTCGTATATGGGGCTACCTGGGACATTAGGGGCCCTCTTGGGCCGTCGTGAGTTGCCTGGGGGGTATCTTGGTGCCGTCTTGGGCCGCGTTCGCCTCCATGCTGGTTTTCTTGCTTTGCCTGGGTTGGGTCTTCAGTTACCCCCAACCCCACTAGGTCTGGTACCAGACCTCCTTTCCACCTCCAACAGGTCTGGTGGGATGCCCCCCTTCCACGTCGACCAGACCTCCCAGCGGGCCCTCCTCCGGCGAGGTGGGGGGGGCCTCCACCAGACTTCCTCTGGTTCTCTTGGAGACCTCCCCCTGATCCCCCCGAGGGCTTGGGGAGGCCTTCCGGAGGCTTCCCTTGGTTTCCACAAGGTGTGGCGAGAGGCTTCCCGCGGCCCCTGGGAGCACCAGGCGAGGCCTCCCCCAGGCTTCCGGGACGACCAGGGGAGGTCTCTGGGAGGCTTCCCCTGGTTCGCCTGGAAGCCTCCGATGAGAGTTCCCGCAGGGGGGAGGTCTCCTGTGGGAGGCTTTCGGGAGGACCAGGGGAAGCTTCCAGGAGACCTCACCTGGTCCTCCACCAAGTTTCCCCCCAGCGCCCCGGGAGGACCAGGGGGGGTTTCCAGGGGGCCTCCCTTGGTCTCCCCGGAAGTTTCCCCTTGGAGGGAGCCCTGCCAGATTTCGACGTCTGGGGGAGGCTCCCGGACCCTGGTCCTCGGGGAGGATTTCCAGCAAGCTTGCAAGGACCAGAAAAAGCTTTTGGGAGACCTCCCAGCCCCCTTCTAGAAGTTTGCGGGAGGCCCCCAAGAGGACCAGGGGAGGTCCCCCGGCGGTCTCCCTCCAGATTCCAGGAGGTCGTCAGGACACCGCTATGAGGCTTACTCTTCGGGGCCCTGAGGCCAGTGGATCACCGGATGCAGTGCAGCTACGGTGGCGACGGCAGCAGAGTCGCGTTCAGCCTCGGCGAAACATTTGCCGCGCGTTTCCAAGCTGGGTGGCTGGTTGGGGGCCTCCGACGGCCACGCCGGGACGTTTGAACTTTGGGTCTTTCCGCTCCAAGAAAACATGGTGGACGTAAGGAAACTTCTGGTTCCTTAATAAATGCCCCCCGGGGGGCCTCGATGGTCCCAAAGTGCGAGACATCTGTCGATCCACCAAATTTAATAAGGAATTCCCGGGGTCCCAAGTAAGGTCCTTACTTGGGTGCCTGGCGGTCCCAGAATTCAGGGCCTTACTTGGGTCCTCGGCGGTCACAGGTCCCACAGGTTCCACAGGTCCCACGTGTCCCAGATGTCCCACAGGTCCCATAGGTCCCACGGGTCCCGCAGGTCTCGAAGGTCTCGCCGGTCCCGCAGGTCCCGCAGGTCCCGCAGGTCCCACAGGCCGCACAGGTGCCACAGGTGCCACAGGTCCCGGAGGTCCCGCAGGTCCCGCAGGTCCCACAGGTCCCACAGGTCCCTCAGGCCCAACAGATCCCACCGGTCCCAAGGTCTTGCAGGTGTCACAGGTCCCGCAGGTCCCACAGGTCCCACAGGTCCTACAGGTCTTACAGGTCCCACAGGACCCACAAGTCGCAAAGAAGGTGCCAAAGGTCCCACAGGTCTCGCAGGTCCTACAGGTCCCACACGTCCCACAGGTCCCAAGGGTCCCACAGGCCTCGCGGGCCCCACAGGTCCCACAGGCCCCACAGGTCCCACATGTTTCACATGTCCCATAGGTTCCACAGGTTCCGCAGGTCCCGCGTGTCGCGCAGGTCTCGCAGGTCCCGCAGGCCCCGCAGGCCCCGCAGGTCCCGCAGGTCCCACTGGGTCCCACAGGTCCCACAGGTCCTACAGGTCCCACAAGCCCCACAGGTCCCGCAGGCCCCACAGGATCCACAGGGTCCGTAGGTCCCACAGGTCTCGCAGGTCGCGCAGGACCCGCCAGTCCCGCATACTCCATAGGCCCCGCAGGCCCCGCAGGTCCCACAGGTCCCACATGCAGGTCCCGCACGTCCCACAGGTTCCGCAGGCCCCACGGGTCTTACAGGTTTTAAAGGTCTCGCAGGTCCCGCATGTCCCGCAATTCCCACAGGTCCCGTAGGTCCCAGAGGACCCATAGGTCCAACAGGTCCCACAGGACCCGCAGGTCCCGCAGGTCCGCAGGTGCCACAGGTCCCACAGGTATGAATGACCCCACAGGTTTCACAGGTTCTCGCAGGTCCACCGGTCGCACATGTCCCGCAGGTCCCGCAGCTCTCACAGGTCCCACAGGTTCCGCAGGTCTCCCAGGTCCCTCAGGTCCCACAGGTCCCACAGGCCCCCCGGGTCCCACAGGTCCCGCAGGTCCGACAGGTCCCGCCGCCAGCACAGGTCCCACGAGTCCCACAAGTCCCGCAGGTCGCGCAGGTCCCACAAATCCCGCAGGCCCAGCATATCCCACATGTCCCACAAGTCCCACATGCCCCACATGTCCCACAGGTCCTACAAGTCCCGCAAGCCCCGCAGGCCTCGTAGGTCTGGCAAGTCCCGCAGGCCCCGCAAGTCCCAGTCCCCCCAGGTCCCACATGCCCCGAAGGCCCCACAGGTCCCACAGGCCCGATAGGGCTTACAGGTCCTACAAGGGCCACGGGGTCCGCAGGTCCCGCAGGTTCCGCAGGACCCGCAGGTCCCACAGGTTTCGCAGGTCGCGCAGGTCCCGCATGTCCCACACGTCCCACAGGCGACGCATGCCCCACAGGCCCCTCAGGCCCTACAGGTCCCACAGGCCCCACAGGTCCACCCAGCCCCTCCGGTCCCACAGGTCCCACAGGTCCCACATGTCGCGCCGGTCCCGCAGGCCCCGCAAGTTCCGCAGGTCCCACGGGGCCTACAGGTGCCACAGGCGCCACAGGTCCCACTGGTATCGCA